CACGTGGCGCTCGTCACGAGGACCTCTGCAGCGCATGCACCTGTCGTTGGCTAGGATCGGGTGGAAGTCGGTGACCCCCCTTACTTTTGAGGACGACTACGGTCGAGGGGTGCACTTGGGATACACCTCGCCCGCTATGTTAGCGCACATGTTGCAGTTGGCGGTCCAACGAAAACATGAACGGGTTTATGTCAGGACACCCCTGGAGCCGACGGTTGTCGGTTTTGTGTCGATCCCCTGAAAACCTTGCTGGGCCCCAAGGGAAGGAAACTCAACCCTCAGCAGAAGTATTTGGCGCTGAGTGTGTTTTGCAAAGGGATTTGGACCAGAGCGAGGGCGCAAGCCGCTGGATACTCGTGCGACGGACTTTGCCCGAAGTGCGGGATGCCCGACAGCGTGCGGCACCGCGTTTGGCAGTGCCTTCACCCTGACACCGTCGCCGCCCGTAAAAGTGTTACTGATGACTCTCCTGTTGAATGGCTGGACGAAGCTCTTGAAAGTCAGGACCGTTTGTTCTTTGATGAGTTAAAGTGGGAGCACCCTGAAGCCTCCTACCCTCCTCCGTCCTCGGCCACTCAACCCATCCTGTACTCTCATGAAGGGGATATTATTGATTGGGGCTCTGTAGACCTCTCGGGTTGCGATGTCGTCATGGACGGCTCGGCCTATCGGCATACCGTTAGGGAGTTGTCCAGAGCGGTTTACTCCTGGGTTTTCTTGGGAGAGGGCGACACTATTATTGCGTACGCCAAAGGTACTGTTCTTTCGGTCCTCCCCCAGACCTCCCAAGCTGCGGAGCACCTTTGCATGGCCCTCCTCCCGATGTTTCAGAGCAACGGCGGAGACCGCCACACCGATTGCATGAATGTGGTGCGCATCTGTGTGGCGACGAATGAGTACCAGGTTTTTCATACACATCGTTATGCTGGTCTTCGGAGAGGTGTCTGCTCCATGAGAAGTTCCCCATCCCGTCGGTGCACCACACACCTGCGCACCGTGCGCGCACTGTTCTGGATGCTCCGTCAGCGCACGAGAAACGGATTGGTATAGGCAACTTGAAAGCCGACGCCCTTGCCAAGCAAGCTCTCCTCCTCCATCCCCAACCCAGTGTGCACGAACGTACGGAGGTGGACAGGAAGTGCGATTTGTTGGCTTTCGCTGCTAGGGTGGCGGGCACCGTGCTTGCCACCTTTCCTCCCGAAAAGTTTGAGCGTCGGCCCTTGGGACCGAGGGCTAAGTTTTTAAAATCGGGAGGTTGGCATTCCTGGCAGGAAATAGGTCAGGGCTGCGCCAGATGTTTGCATTGCCTTTGTTTGTCCACTGATCGGGATGCGCGCCCCATGTTGGGATGTAAAGGACCCAGCAGGCTGTGGCGTGGTGTCCTGGGTCGGTCCTTGGGGCACTCGTTGGCGCATTGCATTGTAAGCAAAGGTGAGCGGAGGCTCACCCTCTTCTTTTGCTCCATGTGCGGAGCGTACTCCTCTGCGCGCTGTCATATGCTCGGCAAGGAGTGCCTTCAGCGCCGACTGGCGGGTGGCACTACCGTGCTGAGGAGGATCTTTGCTGGCCTCTATCCTCACTGTCGTGACAATAGCACGGTGAGCGAATCCTCGAGGCGAGGCGTGGCTTTCTTTTGCTACGAGTCTCAGAGGCCACCGCCGCCAGATATCAAGCCTGCCGCTCTCGCCGTCAGGGCTGACAGAGACGGCAGGTATGGCGGCGCTCCTGGCACGCGTTCAGGCCCGTGAAGCGTCGGCGGTGGCACGGCCCGTTGCCGCGCCTTTCGGCGACGCACCGTGACCAGATTTTGACCAGATTTTGTGGATGGCGGGTGGCTAAATCTGGGGCCTCATCTGTCCCCTGTCCCGCCCGCTGTCCCCCATCTGCTGGGCTGTACGTCAGACGTGCTCAGCGGGTGAGCTGGTCTTCGGCCATCGTGGCCGACGTGCTGTTTCAAAATCGTTCAGGCACCCAGGGGATCGCTGACAAAAAAAAATCGAGGTTCCTGGGGCGTTCTTGCAGCCCTCTTGGAGCCCTCCCCTTGCCCTCTGAAATCTCTCCCTTCTCGTCCTCTGGCCCTCCCTCGTCTTCCCTCGTGTTCCCAGTGCCACGCGGTGCTGTTCTTTGCCGTTCGTGCCCGGGGCAATCTACAGACTGTACTGTCGTGTGCGGACATTGGGTCCCCACCTGGGCCCCACCCCCTGGACTGGGCACCGAGGTCCGGGCATCATCGGATTGTCGAACAGCGGTCGCGTACAGTGCCCGAACCCACTGACTATACTGTTGAGTGCGGTCAGCATTTTTCGGAAGGCCGTCCGCACATTGTACTGTCAAGTTTGGACAGGTGTCCCTGGTCCACAGATTGTACGACCAAATGCGGACATATTGCCTGGGCATGTGTGCACGCAATATGCGGAAAAGGGGGCGCGCCCACAGGACAATCTGCGCACACGCATATTGTCCGCAAAGGGTCCTTGGGTCGTCGGACGCACTCGCGCAGAATCCGCAGATCGGGGGTGGGTCATCCGTGCTACCCGCGCCGAATCCACAGGTCGAAGGGAGGAATCTTGTCTGCGCGCGCCGAATCCACCCTTGAATGTTCTTGCTAACCCTGTCGGTTTTCTGGGCCCCCCCAGCCCAGGCCACCTGGGAGGCCCCCAAGCTCCAAGGGGGTCACGGCAACTGACGAGCCTGGAGCTGCCAGGGTGCCTCGGGCGAGACGGGCCAGACCACTGCAGGTCAGGGCATCTCTGGGCCCGGAGATGCGAGTCAGTCTCAGGCGAAGTGGGCTGGACCACCTCGGGCAAGAGCATATCAGCGCCCAGAATTGCGAGGACGCCCCAGTCGGGGGCGCGCAAACATGGATTGGCGATCAATGGATTTGGCGCGCGGTCGCCACATCCATGGATAGGGGGAGGTGCCATCCCCAAAATGCGACCAGTGCCGCCTCGTCCGGCGGCGGATATCGGCGACTCCCCATGGAAACGGGACCCGTCGCTAATCCACGCCCCCTTGATCCATGCTTGCGTTCGCCAGACTCAGGCGAAACGGGCTGGTCGACTCGCGAGCGTTATCCTTCTCCTCCCGACCCACAGGGTGAAGGAGGAGGAAAGGAGGAGAGTGAGAGTCCGAGGGAACCGCGCAGCGGACGCTGCTAAGACTTATCAAATCGACGAAATTGTTGCCCATGAACCAGTTTGCAAAAATGTTCGTGCCAACTGCGGGTAGGTCGAATTTTTTCGTTCGTTGACCGCGCGCCTTGTCTGATCCGGATGCGCCGCGTCGGAAGCGAGCGCTGCGCAATCAGCGCTGTCATCTCTTGATTGTGGCGCGTTCAAGAGAAGGATTTAGGCGCAAGCGCGCCATTTCACGCCAGAGGTGCTGGACGACGCCTGCCCCGCGTCGCTGTAATGTGTTCATTGCGGCTGACTTCACAAGATTTCCGATTGTTGCATATCAAATTTGCCAGGCGGGCGCGTCGCCACTTGCCGAGCCGCTTGGCACTCCAGCTTGTCCGCGGGACCAGATCCACATATGGCATGAATCTGCTCACTACGGCGGCTGGGTATAACCTCGGGAGGTCTTTGGCTTGGGGGGTCCCACCCTGTTTCTCCCGGCGGGAAACAAACTCGCCCCCCTCCTCCTCCTCCTCCTCCTCCTCCTCCTCCTCCTCCTGGTCCTCCTCCTCCTCCTCCCCGTCCTCCTCCTCCTCCTCCTCATCCTGCCCCTCCTCCTCCTCCTCCTCATTCTCGTCCTCGTGGTCGCTATTGTAGTCGTCATCGTCGTCATCGTCGCGGACTGGATAATGTTGGGGGTTCTTCTCCCAGGGAAAAAACATACTGGGCTACCCTATACGCGAGAGCATTGGTGAACATCTTCTGGTGAGGACAGCGAAAGGAATCAGTGGTTGTAGTTGTATTGGTACTTGTGGTCTTGGTTGGAATCGCAATCATTATCGTGATTGTAATAGTGAATCTGATCGCAATCGTAGTCGTCGTCGTCGCGGCGGATAGTATATTCCCACTAGTGTTCGCCGCGCTGGATAATGTTGGTGGATGTTGTCGCCCAGAGAATAATGATCTCATGGCTAACCCTCCACGACAGAAGAATGTCGAGCACGTTTGGGAGAGGATTGCGAACCAGGTGCATATATAGATATGTATGTGTGTATATATATATATGTATACGCGCATATATGTGATATATGTAAATGTCGACACATTAGTCGCCGACGGCGTACCTCACAATCTACTGCTCGTAGTCGTGGTCGTAGTCGTAGCCGTAGCCGCAGTCGTAGTCATATCGTGGTCGTAGTCGTAAGTGTAGTCGTAGTCGTGTTCGCCGTCGTCGTCGATAACGTGCGGCGGGTGCCGCGTTTAACCATACATGTTCCATTATTGGTGGGACCCCCGTCTGTCAATAAGGCCGCCGAGAAGGTAATCAATATCAACTATTTGGGGGGGGGCTCTGACGACCTATCCCAGTTACACGGCCCTACGGATATCATGGCCAACACACCCAGAAATCAACCCAACCCCACAGGCCCCAAACTGTCCCAGTCCCCCCAAAAAATCTGCCCATTGGATGTCTTCCCTCTTCTGGGGTCACTGGATGGCGCAAGCCTCTTTGAATCCACATTTCTTGTCTTGGTCGCTGGATGCTGCATGGCGGCCTCAAAGGCGACGACGACGTCGACGACGATCCAAGCATACATTTTTAGCATTCCACTTCCCAATGGGGCGACGCGAACCCCACCCGGACATCTCTGAATCGCTTGGTCGCAGAGTCCGCAACATTGTTCTCCAACGCGCCAAAAAAACCCAGCGAAACGCCGCGATATCTCCTGGGCACTTATGAACCGCTTGGTCGCGTCAGCTACGAAGTCGATCCTCAACGCGCCAAGGATGGACGTCCGACATAACTGCACACAGATGGATTCGAAGCTCAGCGAAGATATCTGGGCTCCCCATGCCAGGCGGCCCCAGAGCGGACAGAGCAGCCTGGCGCTTCTCGCTCCAGTGCCAGCCCACCTCCCCGGCGCACCTTGGCCGCCACCGTCGGAGGCACGGTGCACGCTCCCCGGGGAGAAAGGAGCCGGGGGGTTGGTGTCGAGAACGCGGCTGGGGGTAAGGACGCGGATGGCCTAGATGCTGATGAAAATGATGAGGGTGATGATTATGGCGACCACAAAAACAGTGATGATGACGATGATGGTGATGACGACGGTGGTGATGATGATGGTGACGACGATGACGGTATGATGGTGATTTAAAAAATTTGTCCAACACCCACTCGACGACCTCGATAGCAAGCGTCTGCTGAGGATGTCTCTGGTCGCCTGGGCCTCGCCTGCTTGCGAGCGTCTACACTGCAGCTCCCGAAGTACGTTGTACCCGAATATATAATCTCAATGGTTTGCTCATCGGCGGAATTACAATCCGAGAGTTGACGCCGCCCGCGCCGTGGGGTCGCTCACGCGGGCTGCTACTTCTTGCCATATACGTGATCGTGTTGGCCTTGAGCGCGCGTCTCTGCGTGTCCTCCGCTCCCATGGTTTTGAAGAAGACGGCGGAGGCGTGCTGCAGGTCTATCAGCACGCAGTTCTGTGCGAGGGGGAAGTCAACCGAGAGGGCTGGTGTGACTGAGCCCGCTGTCGCTACCGATCACGGCCTCCGCATGCAAGTGCGTTGCCGCCTCGAAATCCTTCAACTTGGCCGTGCACGTCGCTGGTTACCCTGGATCTCCCCCCGTCGCGGGTCCTGCTGAACTCACGAACCTTGCACCACCCCTCGATCATAATCGGATCGTTGGCAACTTGGATGTTGTATTCAGATTCCCCCCGAGGCAGTGAAAGTCCTGGAAGTCTGGGGAGACGCCATTGGCGAATCTGCTCTCGGTCTGGTTGGAAGTCTTCCAAAAAAGGTGGAGGTGAAGGCCCCCGAAATCATGGCCGCCTCCAATTTTCTTGGCCTCGTTATCGCACTGGGCGTCAACCACTTCGACTATCACCTGGTGCTCGCGTTTCGACGAACCTGGTCAGATGCGATTCGAAATCCAAGGACCTGGTGCGAAGCTCCAGCTGCCTCAGCAACCTCGGGTCGGCCACCATGTTGCCCGGTTCGTTCTGCTTCCTGAGCTGCACTAGCCCGACCCAACAGTCTGGCATCGCGCCCGAAGTCTAGCCCCCCCCCCATCTTCCCACCCCCCACATTCCCACTCTGAGTCTGGTTAACGTGACCTGCTGGCCCGGGAATGGCACTGGAAAGTGCTCGAGCTGCACAGGCCGACGGAATGCCTCTGTGGACTCGGTGAGCTCTGCGCGCAGCGGGCGCGGCTCCTCTGTTGCCTCGCCGATGCCAGAGCCCGACTGAGCGCGATCTGGGATGCGGAGACCTTCTTCTCGAATCTATGCCTCGTGAGGTTGCTTGCCGCTGCCTTGGCTTAAGATATTGCGCCGCATGCTACGCGCTAACTGTTCACTGCCGTGAGTCTCGCTACACGTCGCACTGCGCGCGGGCCCGTCTTACCGCGCGCGAAGTGGCTCCTAATCTGCTTTTTGCGTTGTCAGAGTCATGTGGCATCATGGCCCATCCAGCCCCAGGGCCAGACATATGTAGATCCAACTGCCCACCTCCTCGTTGGTACTTGTTCCTCTGACTTGTATTCCATATGCGTGCGATAGCGTGCTCAGTGGAGATAAGGGTCGAGAAAGTACGGGCTTGTCGCGTTTGATACGGTGGATCAACACGTTGCGGATTCCGTCGAGGAGCTCGCTCAAGTCGTTGCGTACCCGGAGGGGCAACGCGTTGGGTTCGCGCTGTCCAGAGATCACCGTTTCGCGATAGAGGCCGGCGGGGGGGGGGCGGTCCGATTCTCTTAAACTCCAGCTCTCCGAACAGACCTGCGAGCAATTGGAGAGATACGCGTGGCAACTGTTTGCCACCTGCTGCAGTCATTGGACACGTCTCGCTCTCATTGCAATGAGCAGATGACCCGCGTTTACCCTGTATCATACGCGGCCGTGAGCAAACTGTCGCGCGCGATCCCCACCATGCGAGTCTGTTCCCTCCGCAAGTACACGGCCGTGTTTGACGAGCCTAGACTCATGATCATCTTCGGGGGTGGCCTTTGGTCGCGCCCGCAGATCACGACCGCCGAGCGCGCTGTCCAATGCCTGGCACGCGAAAGAGTTGATGTGAAGCCGAAGCGGGACACCCGATGCCCGGAACTTCCGTTGCTGAGCCCGCCCGCGATCGGCCCCACGATGCGCTTCCCTATTTCCGCCGCAGTGGTGGAGGTTCTCGTGAGCAAAGCATGTAGATATCTTGCGGGCGTGCCTGTCCTTCCCTGCAACGCTCTGCCATTGCCGATGGCGGTCACACTGTTGTAGCCGCCCTTACCGGTGCCGTCGAACACATCGACGTGCTTCGTGGCAATAAGGTGCGCGTCGATCCCGTTGGAGCCACGGTCGGTCATTATCCTGTTGCGTGCGGTTCCCCATGTTCGCGCTGCACTGGCGCCTGGCACCATGAGTCGGCGAGGTCGTCAACTGGACCCGTTCGCGAGACCAGCTGAATTCTTCAAGCAGCAACTCATCGCGGGCTCTTTCGGCCGTTCATGCACATGCGGTCGCGGCGACATCCGCCGCCCATGCGTCGCCGAGCAGACTCCACTACCAACTCTAGAAAAGCGCCCAGGGGCATCGCGGCAAGATTCACTCGCGCGCAGCATCCTTTTCCACGGCGCGCTCGCCATCCTCAGGCGCGACGAATTCCATGACCGTGTCCAGGGCACTGGGTGATCCATGGAATAGAATGCGCCGATTACTGAAACCCCCTTGACAAGTTGCCACCTGAAGACCTGGTGAAACAAGATCGCCCTCACAGAACCGCGTTGGTGGATCGGACGGGCAGGAGTAAGCGGACAAACACTCGGCGAAATGTCGGAGCGCTCCTGTCGTGGACAGGTTCATCCCAATCCCTGCTTGCTGTTGTCGACCGCACTGCGTTGATGCTGCCTGGCATGCAACTTCATGCAAAAGCGTGCTGCCTACGCGCTGCGATCAGACCAAGCACGGCACAATCTCAGGAAACCGATGGAGTGTTGAACGCCCTTGTGGCCCTCCTGTGCTTGCTCATCTCTGGACTCAGAATGCGGAACCTGCTGTCGATGTGGCAGGACGTCTCGACCCCAGTGGCTTTGCAGACGCCCTCGGGACCAGTTGTTGGCATCTCTGTCTGTCCAACAATGGACATTCGCCGTGGACGCGGTGGCTCTGTAAATTATTCTCCTTGGTTCTCGCCCACCTCCAGCAATCATCCGTGGTACTCTATGCGTTGTGTATCAGCCTTTCATTGTCGCGGCTTCCCTGGAGGCTCAGCATCGGCGCTCCTGAGGTTGCGCGGGGTCTGTCTTCACCTCTCGTTTTAATTAGACATTGTGAAATACACGTGGGCTCACTCATGATTCGAGATGTGATGTATTCGTGTGTTTGTGGACCTTTCTGTTCTACAGCTGCCCATTGCGATCGCGCCTTTGTCGTAAGAGATCCGTTTGCCATTCGTCTACCTTGGTAAGATCTCGGTGTAGTTGGGGTTGTCCGTGACGGCTTCGGCTGCGCCATCGTTTGTCATCGTTGATCGCCCGATCGTTAGACTGGTAGACGCCTACACGGTTTGGCCTGGGCGGGGAACAAGCGAGCATGATTCCAAAGCGACCGGTCCGTCTCTCCACGCTGGCTGCTGCCAGCCTGCCCCAAAAACATTTAGGAACTTCGTATGTGCCGTGCAAAATTCCTTCCAAACTGCGATTTGCGTGGCATGAGACTGACGCCGCAAGGACGTACAATTCCTGCGGTAAACCTCTATCCCAAATGGGATGCATCATGGAACGGAAGATCACTGATGAGCTCGCTCTGGCAACCGTGACTCTTGATGTTTGTGCCGGTGAAGCCAGCGATGTCCTGCGCCTTTAGCTCGTCGCTGTTGTCGAGCTGGCCAGGCCCATCCTGAGCCCAGGATCGGTGCATAGGCGCTCCTACCTTGGCCAGGAAGGCATATGCACCGATCCTGGGTCAAGGATCGGCCTTGCCAGGATCGGTGCATGTGCATAATTCTCGTCGCCCGAGTTGGTTCCAGTGCGCAGCCCGCGGCCGAATGACCGCTCAAGCGCGGGCCGCCTGCGGAGCTGCCTGCATGGGCGTCCCTCGCAGCAATGGTGCAGGTTGTGTGCCAGTGGGGAACAGGAAACGCCGTGTCCCGGGGTTTGGGCTGACCTTGATGAAACGATGACGATGACGACGATGATGATGATAATGATGATGAGGGCGACGACGACGATGCTGATCATGATGATGATGTTGATCATTATCATGATGACGACGACGACGATGCTGATGCTGATCACGATTGTGATGATGCTGATGATGATTATGATGGTGGTGATGTTGATGTTGATGACGGTGATGATGCTGATGATGTTGATGATGATGTTGATGACGATGATCCTGATGATGATGATGATGATGATGATGATGATGATGATGATGATGATGATGACTGTGATGATGCTAATCACAAGGGCCGGAAAAAAAACGGCCGTTGATAATCATGTTGCTGTTACTGATGCGAATATTATGATGACGAGTCCGATGCCGATGCCGACGACGATGATGGTGATGAGGGCGGTGATGAGGCTGAGGTTGAGGCTGCTGATGAAAATGATGATGACAGGAGGAGAAGGAAGAGGAGGAGTAGGAGGAGGGGGAGGAGGTGGCGGTGATGATCAGGTGCCCTTAAGCAACACAACAAAAACGTGTCTCAACTTCCTCGCGACGTAAGTCAGCGTGCAATTGGCCATGAGCTACGCAGGCGCTAGCGACGAGGAGACCCAGGACCCAGAGGATGCACGGCGCGGCCGACGGCCCCCGCGGGGCCGCCACGCCACCTGCCTCCTGGACGTCCAGAACCTTCGGGAAAGTCTCATTGAGTGACCAAAAAAAGGTGAACGAAAAATGACGCAAACATGAAAAAACATCGGAGGTCCGCGCGGACTTCTTGGATCGGCGCTGGGGCCCCCTGGCGTCGCCTCCGGCACCGCCACTGGCGCGCTCCGCGCGCCAGGGAGGGGGGTCGAGCGCCGATCCGAGAAATCCAAGCGGACCTCTGAATTTTTATGTTTATGTCAGTGTTCGTTCCCCTAGAAAAGAAACGGGTCTTACGCGAGATGGCATAGCGGCCTTGCGCGGTGGCTTACGCGGACCGCCAGCGCGGCACGCTACATTGGAAACCAGAGCAAACGCGCGACCTTACGCGGCCAACTTCCGCGCGAATGTCCTTGCAGTCGGACCCCCTTTCTGCGTCGCTCAATTGCCCTCCAAAGACCTCCAAATACGCGAAAACATGACGGCCCCGAACTTGCCTCATGCGAGCCGTGAGAGCGCCCAGTGAGGCCCCGACGAACTTCAAAACGAGCCTACAAAGCCCCGACAGGCCTCGAGAAGTCCTCGCGAGGGCCTTCACACATACCAAGTCCTCGAGAAAATCCAACACCCAAAACATGACGACATGTACCGAACGCCCTCGTTGCCAATACGATGGCCAATACCGCGAACCCATCACTGGAGACCTCGCGGCAGAGGGCGAAGCCTTTCCGACAAGGATCGAGGAATGAAATGAACTGGCGCACTCTAGTAGCACTGCGAATCACTGCCAGCAGTGATTTCGGGATGTGGGACGGCTTCGGTGCAACATGCCACGCCAAAGGAGGGAGAATAACACCTGGCAGCGGACGCCGTCTTCGCATGTTGTGGCGGTTCTGGCAACATGTAATACCGCAGCATCCCTGTGGAACGGAAGAAAGTCGGCATCGGCACCAAACAAAACAACTTCCTTCATCTGGAACGCCTTACTGAGAGGCGAGGATTTATCCATAACCACCGCCAGGGAGGCAATATTCGGGGACCTCGGCAGGCGGTGGATATACAAAAAATCTGACCGGACCCTGGGGGGGGGGCACCATATCTAGATCCGTCGCTTGCCGAAACTCCGAAGATCGATCTCGGGGGCGGTGGTTTAAGAAAACATCTGCCTCGAACTTACTGGTGGAACCACGTCCTGTTGGTGCTAACATCGACTTGCGAGGCCCCGATTCTGGCTGGGTGGGGCACTTGGTCAAGCCGTCGGGCATCGCGGACGCGCTGCTGCTGCTCTTGGCCGCCTCTCTGCGGCAACCCTGCTCTCCCACGCGCTCCCCCTGATCGTCGCCTCTCTCCTCGACCTTTTCTCCTCCTCCTCCTCCTCAAATGTTAGAGGAGAAAGATATACCCTTACCACTGCCCGTTCTGGAGGGCCCTCGTGGCCATGGCTGGGTTATCCCTGTTCGCACGCGGCCCCGTGCGCTGGCTGGGAGTTCTGGGTTGACGCCTGGTGGGCGCCACGCGCGCTGGTTTTTCGATGTTTGGTTGTTGTTGTTGTTCTCGCGCGGCGGGCGCCCGTGGGAACCACGCAGACTGTCACAAAAAAACGCCACCACCCTCCCACCCCAGAACTCGTACACCCCGCGAAATGCTTAAGAAATCATGGGTTAAGAAATTCATAGTCTCAGAACTTGAACAAAAACCCAAGATTTCTATCAAAGTCTTAAGATTTACATTGAAACGTTAAGAATAATCGAGACTCTGGCCGAAAACTTCGGTTTTCTTAAGCATCGCCTAAGGTGTACACTCTCGGGTACTACTATAATATGCGTTTGGCTTGGTTTTTGGAAAGAACGCGGACCATCCCAGCCAGCCAGGCATTGTCATCCTTCACCCTTGAGAAGTAATACTATGCGCGCACATTCGTTCACCCTCACAAACTAAAGTTCCAAACGGTCATTACAACAACAACCACGGCACACATTCCACACGCGCGCGCACATGCCGAATCCATATCAAACGCAAACGTGCAAACACTCCGGCATGGAAGCGTTCAAAATTACTTGGCAAATTCGCCGGCCCAACGGGCCAGAGGCGTGCTAAGATCTCCGGTAACTGCTAAATAATACTTCTACTTCGCGCGCGCGGGGCGGCCCCTGGGGGTCCCCGGAAGAAAAGTACCCCGGGCGATCCCCGGCAGGGTCGGGTCAAAGATGGTTTTCCTCCTGGGCGCCGCCCCCGTGGCCCTCCAGAGAGCCCCAAGAAGGGCCACGAGGCCGCCAAGAGCCCTCCAAGATGGTTCAAGAGTGCTCCGAGATGCCACACGATCGTTCCAAGACGCCCAAGATGGCCCCCAGACGCCCCAAGAGGCCTCCAAGAGCACTCCCCAGAGGGCCCCAAGAGGCAAAATTCATTACTTTCCTTAGGTTTTGGGCAGATTTTGGCGTGTCCATCTTTTCGGCTTCCCGACGCCCCAAGACGGCCCAAGAGGCCCCCAAGATCGCCCCAAGAGGAAGCTCCCAAGAAGGCCCCAAGATGGCCCAAGAGGGCTCCAAGACGGCCCCAGAGGCATCCAAGACGGCCCAAGAGGGGCCCAAGAGGGCCCCAAGCGATGCCCCAAAGGGGGAACACAAAACAAAACTTCGAGCCCTCGGCCTTAAGAAGCCCCCAGGAGGCCTCAAGAGGCCCCTGAGAGGCCCCAAAAGCCCCCAAGAGGCCCTCAGGAGGCCCCCAGGCGACGCTGAAGAGGCCCCCCAGCGGCCCCAAGAGGCTCAGTCATGCGAAATGGGCTGGCGGAATGAGCGAAGCGATTCAATACTAACCACCGTCTGGTCTTAGCCATCTCGTCCGGCACCCGCAACCTCACTTCACCACGCAATGCACCCGCGTTGAGCTAGCATGCGCCCAGTGCGTACTCAATGAAAGTATGCGGGCCACACTCACGCGTGGTGGCGCGCGCGTGTTGAAATCCTTTTAGAATTCCGATCACATATACAGCTCTCCCAAAGCATATGCAAACGAGAACACAAGATTTGTTTTCATATGTCTTGCATGTCTGCGTGCATTTCCTCACCATCTCCCTCACCGACGCCACCGCATTACCGCCGTTGTTATTGTCGTCAATCGCCGCCAACACGGTCATCACCATCCCGATCGCCTTCATCAACGAAACATGGGCATCATCATCATCATTACCATCATCATCATCATCATCATTATCATCATCATCATCATCATCAGCATCATCATCATCATCATCATCATCATCATCATCATCATCATCATCATCATCATTGTCACCAGCATCATCGTCATAATCATCATCATCAGCATCATCATCATATTATCATTAGAATAGTCATCATCATTATCGCTATCGTTGTCACCAGCATCGGCGTACGTAGTCTAGGGCCGTGCCGTCGCTATTCGTCATCATGCCACAACCGTCGCTCGTTTCCACCTTTGCCGTCGTCATCATGGTACCGCGCCCGCCCGCATCACCGACCCGCATTGAAACTCCGAGGCGCCAGCGCGTTTTTGGGACACGCAGGAGAATTCCAAGCGGCATGCGCCATCGCGGCCGCGTCGGCTGTGCCAAACTAGCTGGCCATTCTGCGCGCGAGCTTGCGCGCTAGTGCAGCCGCAAAGATGCACCAGCCAATGCCAACTAGTCACCACAATCGCGACGGTATGGGCAGTGAAAAGAAAATTGCGGGTGGAAAGGTTGGGATGATTGCGCGAGCAGTGGAATTGATGATTTCATGTTCTGTAAAGCAAATTGTATCACATCCCTTGCACAATATATGGATGACAACAAATCTTCTACCGATTCAAAGGACGAATGAACTCTACCACCCTTCCCCCTGGAGTCCTCCGCACCACACGTGGCACTGTAAAAAGCATAACGATGACGTTCCACCATTCATCTTTCATACGGAACCAGACAATCCCAGCCAGGCCAGCATCGACCCCCCCCTTTGATCCAAACTACGTGCTACCATGCGGGCGCACTCACTCACCACAGGCGGACATCTTGCAACACACACACACACACAAATACATGTATGAACACATAGCCTCTATAATGCTTTAGTTTGGAATCCCTCCTTGTTTAAATCGACGGTGAACAAATGGCCCTGACACCTGTTCCTCCTCCTCCCCCCGCTCCCCCTCCTCCTTCTCCTCCGCCTCCTCTTGCTCCTCCTCCTCTTCGTCCTCGTCCTATTGGTCCTCCTCCTCCCCCTCCTCCTCCTGCTCGTCCTCCCCAGGCGAAGGGTACTCCCCCTTGGTAATCCCTCTTAGCATCCAAGGACTGCCAAAGGCGGCCCGCTCGCAGACCTGGCAGCTTGGTCAGGGATCCTCCTGGTCCTCTTCGTGTCATTCCTAAGCAGGAGGAGGAGGAAGAGGAAGAAGTGGACGAATCATTCGTCGTCGTTGATGCGCGGCGGGTGCCGCAATTAGTTGCCTCGTATCGGTGTGACCCCAGTCCTTCAATGAGGCCACCGAACGAATGATAATTAGTTACGCCCAAGACTTATCAAGGTGAACGGAACAAAACAAAAAACATCGCGAAACGCGCATGTCGAGTTAACGTTATTCACACCCGTGTTGCCGACATGTCAAAACCAACACAGAATAACCGAAACATCCACCGTGTCATCGTGCATATGTCTTGCCCATGCGGCTTTTGAAATATCGTGAAGAAACCGCATTCTCATCTATCCACACGGTGCATCTGCGTTGCATGATTTCGCATGCTCCCAGCGAGCGATCCCGTATCGCATGACAACATGTGGGCCACATGCGCGCCGAATCTGTTCAAGACCACCGCCCTCATTTTCAAGCACATATGAAGAACCACGCGTTTGTTTCAAGACCCGTCTGCCTACCAAGGACGTTTGCGTGTCAACACATCATCACCATGACCTTCACCGGCGCCACCGCACCACCGCCGTCGACATCATCGTCAAATCGCAGACTGTGCTGTCAGCATCAGCATAATCGCTGTCAGCACCGGCGCATGGACATCATGATCGCCATCGTCGTCACCAGCGCCAGCGCTGTCACGGGCCTAGCCATCGTCACCGCCATTATCGCTACCGCTATTGTTACTATCACCTTCGTTGCCGCCTTTGTCGGCGCCATCATGATACCGCGCCCACCCGAGTACCCGACCCGCAATCAAGTGCCCGCGAACCAGCGCGGTGTTTGAGACGCGCTGGAAGTTTCCATTGGTAAGCGCCATCGCGGCCGCATCACTTGCGCCAAACCATATGGTTGTCCTGACCGCGAGCATTCGCGCGCCAGCGCGGCCGCACAGATGCGCTAGCAACTGCCATTCGGCAGCAGCAGTCGTGGCCGCGTGGGCTTTGCCGAACAAGTTGCGGGTGGGAGGGTGGGATGATGCATTCCATGTGCGACACGACGTAGTGCGCAGCGAGTGCAGGAGCTCACTGTCTGGGGTCCACACTGACAAACATGATCAATTGCTATAGCAAGCACTGGTTGAACAAGGTGGCGGGCCAAACCACGACCACCTGCTCAACCAATGCGCCTAGCGGTGTGCGCGTCATATACTAGAGCTTCGCTGCGGAGGCGCATGTCTACGAGGTGATACAAGCGATACTGTCATGCGCGCTGCATCGCTGCATGAGCACAGCACCCCATTGATGCGAGCGTTCGCGAAAGGAGGGGGTGCATGAGAACACCAAGTGGCATGTCAAGTGTACCAACTAATCGACAAGGTGAGTAGTCGGGCGTCAAAGTGGCACGATCTGCACGAGCGTCGATGTGAGCGGCGATGCGACAATGTCAGCGATCAAGCGATCGAAGCACGGAGATGGAATCTCAGAACAGGTCCGCGCAGGTCAGCCTGCGGTCTCCCCGCGAGGCCCCGTCCATGTTGTCGTGCCGTTCGATACCGAGGGCGAAGGCCTCGAGGGCGGCCGGAAAAGACGTCGAAGGTCAACGCTCCCGCCGCCGACCCCAACGAGGAAGCCCGCTCCTCCAGCAAGGCGAGTCGGGCGCCGCATGGTCGAACGACTCGGCACCGTCGCGCTCCTCATCGCCCTCCGCTGCGGAGCCGTTGTCAGATCCTCCAGCTGTGGCGAAGCGCTTCCCGCAGGGCCCGCCAGGCGCGTCACAAACTGTGCGAAATTCGCAGACGTCGTCCAGCGTCGTGTACAGTCCAAAGTCGCCCAACGTCGTCCAACGACCCCGCGCAAGTAGTGGCGCCGCTGCGCGTGGATGCTCGGGCGCCAGCGCTGCGCCTCGACGCGCCGAGGCCACGGGCGAGGCCCGAGGTCGAGGCCGGCCGCGGCGTGCTCGACAGCAACGCAGATATTACGCCCACTGTCGGTGCTATCCAGCTCCTCGAGCTCCTGGCCAAGTCCTGGCGCTTGCTCGTCATCGCGCCAAGCTGCCAACGTCATCTGTTGGATGTGGCCAAACCTCGTGGCAACACACAGAAAGAACCTCCAACCCGTCGGCCAACGTCGTCGGCAATGTACTGGGCCGGGGTGGGCGCCGGGAGGGGCGTCCTTCAGCAAGGCGGTGCAGTCCGTGAGCGTTGAAGAGGCCGAGTCCTGCTCGACGTAGGAAGGGCAAGTGCTGGTGCGGCAGCATTGCCAGGAAGCTAAGCGCAGGGTGAAGGCCAAGAATCTGCGATCCGTCCTCGAGGAGAAGGTTCAACAATTGAGCCTGTTTGCGCTGCGGAGGGGCGGCGTAGAAATGTGGAGCAATTCGTTGGCTGGTTCGCTGGGGTGGTGGTGGCCAGTCGTTGTTGTCTCACGCATGGCGCGGAAAGCATCAGCAGCAGAGTGAAAAGCGCTGTTGATTCCATCTCCTCCCATCAATCTCTCGCTCCGTCCTCGAGCAGGGCACGACGGCTTCGATCACATACGAGGCGCGAGTCGATGGAGCACCGTACACAAAAGCTCCACAACACGCCTCAACATGTTTGCGGTGATTTTAGCGGTATGCCCCTCCTTCTCTCCCTAATCCCCCATGATTGATAACATGTTGACAAATGCACTGCCGTGCAAACAGATGTCTCCCCCATACCGTGAGCAGAGAGAACGTGAAATCCTCAACGAAAAAAAACAACATGTCGAATGGAGCCAGCCGTTTGACCCAGACCCGATGGTGCTTCGGTCGCTTGCTCTGCTTCCTCCGACGGTGCGCCGAGAGGGATCGCGTTCCCATCTAGAGATCAAGGAGTACAGTCAACCCGTATAAGAAGGACGCACGATAAGGATGCAAGGGCCTTAGAAGGCCGTGTGAACACTTTGCGAGCGGGGCACAGCAAGCAAAAGTGGCCAAGGATGGGCCGAAAGGGAATGATGCACGGGTAACCTCGGAAAGTCGCTCAAACTCACCATACGGGTCGACTGTACCACGATTGATGGGGAGACCAAGCGGTAACGATACCGCTACTCCCCGGACCTCTCCCGAGGTGCGTTCTGACCAGAATCTCGAGGCGAATCCAGCGGTGGCGACGAGGGCCTCCTGGGAGGCCGACAAGAGGGTACCTCTCCCTCCGGGATGGAGGAGGAGGAGGAGGAGGAGGGATGGAGGGAGGGAGGGAGGAGGGGAGGGGAGGTGAGGGAGGAGAGAAGAGGGAGGAGGGAGGAGGGAGGAGGGAATGAGCGGGGCCCGCCGACTCGCTCGACCCGGCCCGCTCCTGGCCGTGGACGTCCCTAGGGGTCCCAACTTCGCGCTTCGCGATCCGCAAAGCGCGAATAACTTCGCGCTCTCGCGCCGCCCCCCCAAACGGAGAAAAAGAGGACCAGGAGGAGGGGGAGAAGGAACGAGGACCACGAAGCGCGAATAACTTCGCGCCCTCGTGGGAGCCCTTGACGTCCCGTCCCCCCTCCTCGTCGGCCTCGCCGGCCTCGCAGTCGCTTCGTGCGCTGGCTGGTCCCGCCACCAGCCCGCGGCCATCACCAGGTGAGCGATTTCTTATTCGGTGGTTCGACATTGGGCGGAAGGGGGAGGGGGGGTCTGGCTCGGGACCTCTGCTTACGGCGACTGTTTGCAACAGTGCGTCCCATGAGGGGAGACTCCACCTGCTCGAAACAGGCGCAAACAACAGCCAAGATCTACTCCACTGGGGGGGGGGTTGGCGAGGGCCCGAGCCGATCGGCAAAACAATTAATAAACAAACGATCACCAGCAAACCGGGCGGCCTTACAGCATGATGGGGTGAGAACTAACGCCGCGACGCAGAGGGGTGGCCATATTTTGCTGGGCTGGCGATCCAATGACACCTCCTTCCCCACGGTCTTCCCACAATTCATTCCTACACATGTCTGTCCTCAGTTTCCACATCCATGTTATCGTTGTCCTCCAAGGCGCCACCATTGCTGCCATCCTGTTCTGCCTCCTCCTCATAACCATGCCAAGCCTCTTGCTGCAGCGCATCCCGCTCAGCATGTAGCCTCGTGCGCAGGGGGGGGGGGAGCAAACGAGACGGATGCGTTGGGCTGCGTGGCGGGAGGAAGACATCCACTCGGCCCGTAGAGGCACCTGTGATTATGCTCTAGACGCTTCGCGCTTCTCACTCTGTAGGACTCGCAGAAGTAGAACGAACAACACCTATCTCCACACCCGAATGGATCGCTCGATGTTGTTTCGACCGCTTGATGTAGATGCACTGTGACCTCAAACGTATCCAAGCTAGGTTCGACATGGGCTCGGCGTCGATTCAGTCCAGCCAAAGTCAAGGATATCCATGTGCAGATGTAGATCATGCCATATATATATATATATATATATATGTGCAGTCGGACTTAGGCCATAACAATATCCTTCAAGAACATGAGACCCTCCATCGGCAAACACAAACAGAACATCCAAGGGTATCCTCCCCAGGATGCACAAGAACGTCCAACAAGCACGAAGAACAATAGACCTAGGTCCGATTGCATCCTACCCTTCCTCCTTCTCCTCCTCTTCCGCCGCCTGCTGCTCCTGCAACTTCCTTTCGTCCCCATCCCACTCGTCCTCGCCTCATCCTGTTGCTCCCCCTTCGACTCCTCCTCCCTGCCACCCCCTCGCCTGCGGCGTTTGGGGCACCAGTGGCTCGAGATTGGAAGGATGAGGGGGAGGAGGGGGGGGAGGAGGAGGAGGAGGAGGAGGAGGAGGAGGAGGAGGAGGAGGAGGAGGAGGAGGAAGAGGAGGAGGAGACGACTCCCCAGCCTCGCGGGCCACCACGCCAGTGGTTGCCCCATCGGCCGAAAACGAGCCGCCATGGACAGGCGACGGGTGCGCTTGCAGCACGGGCTAGCCCTCTCACCCTCCATCGCTTTGTTCTCCCCCCCCGTCCTCCAAAGGCCCAAAGACCGGGCAGCGCCATCGGAATGGCTGGACCCACGCCTCTAAGCACCTGGGCCCCCAGCGCACTAGATCCCTCGGACGTCTAGAGACCTATGCTCATCCATCCTTGGGCACCCAAGTCCGCGGCCCCCTTCTGCACATACTCAGCCACCGTAGTCCCCACCAGCGCGTCCAGGGGAAAAAAACACAGAACAACTACGAAGCAAGGGCGTGAAACACACGGAGTCGGAGCCTCTGGCGGCGGAGAGTTCTGAAAGGCCAGCGCAAGTTGGCACTCGTTCTGACCACCCTGCGTTCTCATGTTCGACCTTCGCTTCCCCATCTTCCTCCCAGACAATCATATACATACCGATGCCCAAACACCCCTGCCCACGCAGCAATGACTATGGGCATACGATATAATCCTGCTCATACCCAAAACAATCCCGTCCTCATGTTTATCATTTTCCTTGGCATGCCGCTGGAGGGCTCGCTCGGGGCGTCAGCTCCTCCTCCTCTTCCTCCTCCACATCGTCATCATCACCATCATCATCATTATCATCATCATCAGAAGTGTCAGCATCCTCATCACTATAATCACCATCAGCATCATCACAGCACCATCATCATCATCACCACCATCATCATCATCATCATCACCATCATCAGCATCATCAGCATCAGCATCATCAGCATCACCATCACCATTACCATCATCAACACCAGCATCAGCATCAGTATAATCATCATCAGCATCATCATCATGACCATCATCACCATCATCACCATCATCACCATCACCATCATCACCATCATCATCATCATCATCATCATCATCATCATCAGCATCATCATCATCTACACGTCCCGCATCTGCTCGCACCAGCGCGCACCTCTGCGTGCCCCTCCCTCGTCCTCCCCGCCCCTTTCTCCCTCCCCCGTCCTCCTCCTCCGTCCTCCTCCTCCTCCTCCTCCTCCTCCTCCTCCTCCTCCTCCTCCTCCTCCCCTCGAGTCGCAGCGCATCCGCTGCTGCTCCGCCGTCCGGCCTCGTCGCAGGGAGCGCTGGGCACGGGCGGGGCAAGGGCTCCCCCCCCACCTCCTGTCGCTTTGAAGAAAATAACGACGGACGGGTTCAGCAAATGTCGGCCTCCGGGGGCCGTCCCATGAAAGGGAAGCCCAGCCTCGAGGAAGGGGTCCAGATCTCGAAGGGGCCACGCTGTGAAATGCTCATGACGTCGAAGCTCTGGGTCACAGCATGCAGCAAGATGGCGGCCCAGCCAGCACGCAAGAGCACCAAAGAAGGGCCCCGGGGGGGGGGGGGCGGCTGTAGAGAACTCAGGAAGGCTGCAGCCCCCAGAACCAACCCAAGAGCGGCCCCAAGAGCCCAACAAAAAGCGTAAAGAGGGCCCAATAGAAACCCCAAGGCTCAGGAAGAGATCCCCGACGCCTATCGTTCTGAAAAGAAGACGACCTGAAACATTGTGGTAACTGTTGCCTCAAAGAACCCTCTCCCGTCACCAGGACCGTCAACCATTGGCTCGCAATGAAAAACACTTGTCCCAGGGAAGGGGTCCAGACCGCTGGAGGTTCACGCTGCGACGAAATCACGTGGAAAATGGATGGGCAATCGTGGGTCGATGTTTCCCCCCCCGTGGGCCAGTGTCCCTCCTTCGGTGGCAGCTCATGGGAGCCTCCCGTGTCATCTTGCTGGCTCTTGCGAATCGACAATAGCCTACGTCAAACGACGCTAATCGATACAAATCGACCAGACATCGATATTCGGCGCTTTCCCATGAATTACCGTACGTTTCCGCACGCTAGTGCACTCTGAAAACGGACATTCGAGCACATACGGAGCTCCCATGAGATACTACTGAGCCCCCCGTCGGCGCCCCTGAAGAGAAATCCGAATGATGACGGATCTGAACCTGCGAGATAGAGGCCTTCCAGATGGGGTCCGAGCAGATGGGGTCGAGGATCGCGCCGCATCTCCGATACATCACCGATGCATCGGCGGCGTCGGCGACGCATCGGCGACGTCGGCGCGGATGCAATCGGGCTCCACACCCAGCCGCATCGCCGATCGTCCATGCATCGGCGATGCGGCACGATCCTCCAGCCCTTCGGTGGCAACTCATGGTAGCCTCCACTATCATCTTGTTGGCCGGCGGCAATCGGCGCTAACCGACGCTAATCGATAGATCGGCGCTACTTCATGGATCACCAAACGCTACTCGACGCAGAAGACGGAATTGAGAGCTATACAAGACTCCCGTCATCTGCTACCGAATGACCCCTACTCGTGAGTGGCAACGGTAGGGGGAACTGGCATAGGGAAAAATTGAAAATATCAACCAGGAATCGGCGATACATCGCCGATAGATCGGCGATGGGCCCCCGATAGCAAATTTGCATGTTCATGGGCCATCGGGCCCCTATCGGCGATGAGTTGGCGATTCGGGGTCGATACGGCCTCCTCATGCCCTATGCCCACCCCCCCTTATCGCTGCCCCTGAACTCGGAACCCACATGGGCGACGATCAAAAGGGTCTTACGCAAGATGACATAGCGACCTTACGCGGCGGCTTACGCGGACCGCCAGCGCGGCGTGCCGTACTGGAGACGAGGGCGCGCATGCGCGACCTTACGCGGGAAACTTATGCGCCGATGTCCGCGCAAACGATTCCGCTTTTTGGCGTCGTTGATCTGGCAAGCCGAAACGAGAGCCGGCTGGTCCTGAGTATGTCACCCGGGTGCAGCGCGGCCGCTCCCGAGCGCCGCCGAGCGCCCCGAGAGCGCGCCGCGCCCCGGGAGCGATCCGCCGCCGTACCAGGCCGGCACGACCGCCTGAGCGACGGCAAGAAGCGGGTCTCACGCGAGATGAGACCTGGTGGGCCGATTTTCCGCAACCGCTACCATAGGCAGGATGAGGAGGAGGAAGAGGAGGTCTACCTGGCTACCTATGGTAGCGGAGGAGGAGGAGGAGGAGGAAGAGGAGGAAGAGGAGTAGGGAGGAACCTCCCCTCTCTCCCCCTGCCCACCTGTGGCAGTGGAAAGTTAGCCCCTCAGCACAGCGAGCGGCCTTGCGTGGTGGCTCACGCTGGCCGCGAGCGCGGCGCCCTGCACTGGAAGCGAGGGCGCGCACGCGCAACCTCACGCGGGACACATTACTTGAACAGGGACCGACCGTCCCGGCATTCCTAGAGTCATACCACGAAATGTTCTTAGGACCAAGAACAAATAATGTTCCTAGAACATAAATCCGATGTTTAAATCAAGACAGTCCCAGCCAAACATGTTCTAAGAACATCTCGTGGGAACCACAAAAGGTTCTTTGAACATTGTTTGGTGGGGCTATACAAGCGAGCCGGGACGCTTCGCCAGTGCTCGAATTACCTAGGGCTCCCAACTTCGCGCTTCGCGCTCCGCGAAGCGCGAAGCGCGAATAACTTCGCGCTCTCGCGCCGCCCCCCCAAAGGGAGAAAAGGAGGACGAGGAGGAGGGGGAGAAGGAACGAGGACCGCGAAGCGCGAAGCGCGAATAACTTCGCGCCCTCGTGGGAGCCCTTGAATTACGCGCGAACGTCGGCGCAGCTGAACCCGTGCTTCTGCGTCGCTCGGCTGCCCTCGCACCCCCAGGGGCGGGGCGAACCCGCAGAGGCGAGGCGCCCGCGCGGCGGCTGGCGGCGGCTCGCAGGTGGGGCCCCGAGGGATGGGGCCGCGAGGACGGGTGGCCTCCAGCCCAGACCCCTTGGGCGCCCGAGTTATCCGGGGTAACTCGGGTCCGGGGTAACTCGGGTTTGGGTTCCCGAAAAACGAACCCGAGTTATCCCTGACCCGAGTTATCCCTGATGATTCGGGGCTCTGGACCCCCTCGCGTCGCTGAAGAAACACGACGGGGATTCTGTGTGCTATGTTCGGTCTCAAAGGGCCTTCGCCGAGCACCGGGCCCGTCAAACTCACGATGAAAGGCCAGTCCCAGGGAGTGTGTCCAAAACCCTTGAATTCGTGTTACGGAGAAGCCATGACGTCGGGGGTCTGGGAACAGTGAAAGTTCAGACAGAGATCTCTCTGTCTGTCACTGTATGAACTCATTGGCCCTCCGTGCCCTCAGAGCCCATCCCTCAAAGGCCCCATCCCTTACGGGCCCCAACTCTGAACCGCCAAGCCAAGGCCTCCACAACGGCGTGCCGGAGAAGCCGGCATTGGGCTTGTCCTCCCAGAACCTCCCGGGGCAGCCCTTGAGCGCCCACTGCTCCTCACGTGCGGGGCGACACGGGGGTAGGCCACAATCACAGCGAGGACAACCATCATATCAGAATGCGATTGGCTCAGGATGCGTTCTGCGAATTCTGGAATTTCTCAAGGCCCTCCGCCGTTCGTCTCAGGCCGCAAGGGAGAACTAGAATCCGTGAACATATTGACACGTATGATTATCATGACGTCTCGTTCCTCTGAATTGCAGGGGCTAGACCACGCAGAATCAATCATTGCGCTGTGCCATGGGCCCCACCCCATTGCTTGTTCCGTATGTGTGCCTCGTGCGAAAGAGTAGCTCTGTCCCCCCAGCGCATTCAGGCCAACACGGGCGCCATTTTGACTCCAAGCTGACCCCCTTGTAACATGTGGGACAACTTACGCCTCACGCAACACACTCAAGGTCAGGCGGGATCATCCGTGACAGCCCAAGCCAACCTTTTCAGCACTCTCCAAACAGCGCGATGGCAGATACGCGGGGCAGTAGAATGTGGAAAGGTAAACCAAACATTTGCTTGTAAATGTATGCGATTACACTCTGAATGCGCAGAATCATTAGGAATCCTTATCGTCACGTGGGCCCCGACTGCCAGTTGGCTTCCGACGCGGCACCTAAGCCGAATCACGATCCCAAACACTGTCCCCTACGCGCCAACTCTGCGGAACAAATCTCGACCTCGCATGCCAATCCATGCGGCGCGAGGTCAGTCTGCCTGCGTGGCACTTTGTAGCGTGCGGGCGCTCAATGCACCACGCCGCGCGTACCGTGCGAGATCACGTGCGGTTCTCGCGCTGGCCCGACGTCACTCGTGCCCTCGGCGCTTGGACTTCGCGAGGCCCTGCACAGGATCTCTGCGAGGTCCCTGCTCGTCCGAGAGGCCCGCAAGCCAGCGGCCAAGGTCCGTCCGCGACCACAGGCGCAAGGCCGCCATGCACGCGAGGGTGGGGCGAAAATCGCAGGCCTAGAGATTGACACCAACACCAATTTCGGCGGTGTGCCTCCACGGGGGGAAGACGATCCCGATCTCGGTGATGGTGGTAAAATTCTGGCTTCCGAGGTGGCCGAACTATTACCATCAACACCGAAAATCTATTCCCCCTGTGGAGGCAACCCTCTGTCTTGGTGTTGATGCCAATTTCCAGGCCTCCGAGAAAATGCTCCACCCCCAAACGGGGCCACAGAAACTGAACAGCTTGGATGCTGGCTTCGAAGCCCGAAGTTCGGCGGTGGACAAGCCTCCCTTTTGGATGCTGGCTTCGAAGCCCGAAGTTCGGCGGTGGACAAGCCTCCCTTTCGCAAACCTCCCCTTAGCGAAAACGGCCTGAGACCCAAACCGACGGACCTGGACCCGCAAAAAGGACGGCCGCGACGCCCCCTCGCGAACCGAAAACGGTCAATTCGCTAATCGACGTGTCAGGGTAGGAGGTCTTGAAGGGGCCCCAGGACACACAAATAAATACACATAAATAAAAATATTCCCCTATATTTTCCCATATTTTCTGGGTTTTTGT